GTCGTGACAGCAGATCCGTGGAGACGGGCGCGGAGCGGCGTGGGGGGGGGGGGGGGGGGGGTGGGGGGGGGGGGGGCTGTTGTGGGTGATGGGTGGCATTTGATGACAGCTGTGAGGAACCCTTTCCCCCAAAGATGTCCGCGCTGACCCTTGCCGAGCGCTCCCCTGCGCGGGCCCTGGTCATGTTCTCGGCTCCCTCTGCCTCTTGTCTCATCCTACGGATGTGAAGTGGAGGCCGTGTCCGGGTCACTGGCCAGGTCCCAGCAGGGTGCGTCTCGTCCACAGCTCTTCGCCTTCCTGGGCTTCCTGACCAGCGCCCTGTGGATCAACGCGGCTGCCACGGAGGTGGTGCACATCCTGCGCTCCCTGGGCGTGGTCTTCCGGCTGAGCAACACGGTCCTGGGGCTCACGCTGCTGGCCTGGGGCAACAGCATTGGAGGTGACTCCCCGGGCTGGGTTCTGGGCGAGCAGAGTCCCGTCCTCGGCCCCAGCCAGAGGTGCATGTGGGCAGCAGTCTGTCTTCAGGACGTGCATGGTGCCCAGAGTTGTTCTGGAGTGACCGACATCGGGCATTGGGGTGACATGGCCTGAACTGCCACTGAGCCAGGAAACTACAGAGTCCCTGCCTCTTCCCCAATCTCTGACGCCTGGGCACTGGGTGGCTTCTTAGAGTTCAGGCAGGATGCAGTGACCACTGCAGCCAACCACGCTTAATACAGCTACAGCAGCCAGGTACAGTTGGCCAGGTTACGCGCTGCATCCCGGCATCCAGACAAGGGAGGGGGCACCTAAAATCCAGGCCTCCCTCCACTTGGCAGCTTTTCCTGATCCACAGAGGCTCTGTGTTTCCGTCCCCTCCCGCAGCAGGTGGGACTCGGGTGAAATGTGGGGAGCAGCAGGTCATCCCGTAGCCGAGTCAGTCCTGCTGGGAGGGCGTGGGAAGAGTGGGAGACTCCTGTCCCCGGRCACCGTGGCCGCGGTGTCTGGTGGTGAGGGGCCGGGAGCCACCTGCCACTCAAGGCCCCGCTTCCGCAGACGCCTTCTCAGACCTCACGCTGGCCCGCCAGGGCTACCCGCGGATGGCGTTCTCCGCCTGCTTCGGGGGCATCATCTTCAGTATCCTTCCGGGCTGTGCTGGCCAGCGCTGGGCGGGGTCCCAGGGCACCGGGTCCTTGGGCTGCGGGGAGTCAGTGTTCCCCGGGCAGCGGTSTCCCCTGGGCCCTGGCCTCTGAGGTGGAGGGACAGGTGGGGACAGAGTGTGACGGGCGCCAAGCTCTATGAGACTGTGCCGACGAGCAGGCAGGGCCAGGTCTGGCCCTGGGGCCGCTGTTCCCGGGCCCTGGTCCACCTGGACAGAGGGCAGCCGGGTGGCCCCGGGAAGAGGGCCTTTCTCCTGGCCACCTTCCTTTGGTGGCTGCTGGGGTCCAACCCAGGCCTGTGCACGAGGCCAGCCTCCACCGCTGGCTGCCCCCAGCCCTAAGGGCTTTGAACCCGCTGTCCTGGAGATGGCCTTGACCCACGCCACGCACTATCCTGGGTTCCCGGGGACTGTGGGTGGCGGCTCCCTCTGTGGGGCTCACGGTGCCGAGCCCTCCTGACTCCTACTTCGGTCATGAGGCCTGAGTGYGAAACGTGCTCAGCACACCCTCTTCCAGGCACTTACCCGGGAGCCCGGCTCTTCCGTGGGGCCCCTGGACGTGGGCAGTAGGCACAGATGACAAAGCCACGCTCCTTCTGGCCCTGTCACCCCAAGTCCCAGCAGGAGGGCGGGAGGGTGGTGGCCGCTGCCCTGTGGAGCTTCCTGAGCTGGCTGCAGACATCTTGGTGGGCGTGGGGCTGGGCTGCCTGCTGCAGATAGCCTGGGGCCACGTCCCCGAGGTGAAGGTGAGTGGGGGACTCGGGGGACTTGGGCTCGGGGGGGCTTGGGTGGCAGAGCATTCCTGGGTTCAAAAAAAAATGAATAAGAAGAAAAAAAAGGAAAGAGAGGGAGGGGGAAGGGGGAGGGGGGAGAGAGTACCTGGGCGAAGACAGAGGAGCACCCCACAGGGCCGGGAGACCCTTCCCACCTCAGCGACTCCCACTTCCTGGGGTCAGGTCTGTGAATTCCCGACCAATCTGAATTGAGAATATCTGCTGAGTTGAAACAAGCGCGTTCCTTTGGCGTCGCTGAAGCAGCTAGGAGTCAGAGCAGGACACAGGCRGTGCCCACCTGCCGGCCGGCTGGGTCCAGGCCGTCCTGAAGTCTCTTGCTGTGTGACTTTGAGTGAGGTGGGACATCTCTGTGCCTCAGCTTTCTACCTGTAAAATGGGGTAGATRGCACCTCTAGGCCTCCCAAGTGGGGATAGGGCCAAGCTGATCGCGGGTCCCGCGGGGYGCTGGGAGGAGAGGAAGGCAGGCGCCCGCAGGTTGGGGAAGGTCTGAGACGCACGGTGGGTGGCAGGTTCTCAGGGCCMCTGTGGCCTCCTGACCCCTGGGGGGTGTCTGGGAATGTGCGGGGTGCTGGGCCCTGAACCAGGGACCTCTCCCTGCATGCTGAGCCAAGCTCCCGCCCTGGGCTGCACCAGCTGCCCGGGTGCCCATGCGGGTGATGTCAAGAGACTGTCCTGACAGGCGGGAGGCAGGGCCAGGCTGGAACAGGAAGGACTGGTGACGCAGGTGGCTCCTGTGGCCAGTTAGTCGAGTTCTAGAGAAGGTAGCCAGGGTCTGGGCAGCGCTGTCTCCTTGCAGGTGAAGCCTGAGGCCAGCAGAACCTGACGGCCGCCTGCCCAGGCTGCCCGGGCTGCTGGAGAAGGAGGGGCGTGGGKGGCCGAGGCTGGTTTAAGCCCTGGCAGGGGAAGCACTGGGGGGCCAGGGACTGGTGGCTGGTGGAGACCAAGTCGCTCCCCAGTCTCTGGGAGCCAGGGGTCCTGAACAGACCCTCTGCTGCTGACCTGCAATTCGTGGCCCTGCGTGCTGGCCAGCCCGGCTAGCAAACGGCTGCGTGGGCTTGGGAAGTTGGCTTCTCAGAGAGGCGACACTGCTGCACACGGTCACCCTCGTGGGCTCCAGAGCGCTCCCTTCTCATCATGGATTCTAAGGCCATTCCGAATAGAGGCGCTAGCCCCCTACCCCCGCCGGTTCCTTCTCTTCTGTGTGTGTGTGTGTGTGTGTGTGTGTGTGTGTGTGTGTGTGTGCGCGCGCGCACTCCGCCATTAGGTTGCGAGAGACAAGAGACACTAGGTTGGGCAGATGTCCTTGGGACTGTCAGGGGGAAAACACAAGTTGCTCTTTTAAAAAAGATTTTTTACTTTTATTATTTACCTTGTGGATTGAACCCAGGGCCTGGCACATTCTAGGCAAGCACTCTAATTTTTTGAGATGTGGTCGGTCTCSCTAAGTTGCCCAGGCTGGYCTTGAACTTGCAGCCCTCCAGCCTCAGCCTCCGGAACAGGTCACAGGTCACTGCGCCTGGCTGGCTTGTTTCTTTTGAGCTGGAATCTTGCTGAGTTGCCCAAGCTGCTCGTGAACTCCTGGGCTCTGTCCCAAGTCTTAGYTTCCTCGACTGTAAAACGGAGGTGATCATAACACCTACCAGAAGGGACCACGGTGGCACCGAAGCAGCCAGTGCTCCCAAGGCCCCCCGCCCAGAGACCCTGGGCGGAACCTGAGCAGCCACCGTTCCTTCAAAATGCTCATCTTCAATGTCATCACAAAGGCTCAGCACAGAACAGCTGACAGGGTTGTAGGGCCAGGCCCACTGACACTCTGCTACGGTTGCTTTATTATCTGTCCCTCCGTCCATCCGTCCACCCATCCCATTTCTGATGAGAAGCTCCCAGGCAGGTGGGACTGGAGGTTGCTGCTTCTGGGRTCACGGCTGGGTCCCCGGGTGGGGTCCGCCCCCACAGGTGGCCCAGGCGCTGTCTTGTTCTCYGCAGCTGCAGCCCGAGGGCCTGCTGGTGTGGGTGCTGGCCGGCGCCCTGGGCCTCAGCCTGGTCTTCTCCCTGCTGGCGGTGCCCCTGCAGTGCTTCCGGCTCCGCAGGACCTACGGCGTCTGCCTGCTGCTCTTCTACCTGGGCTTCCTGGCCGTGGCCTTGCTCACCGAGTTCGGAGTGATTCACTTGAACAGGACATGACCAAGGCCACCTGTGGTGTGTTGGTGGCACCGAGGGGGCTCCTGCAGCCTCCTGCTGGGGACTGGAGTGGGCAGCTCCACAGGTGGCTCTTGCTGCCGGGGCACATCAGCTGAGCCCCTCCGGCCTGGACCCCAGCCCCGCTGCTGGCCTCTGGGGAGTGGCCTGGCTGTGGCCTGACTCCAGCGGAAGCCAGACCTCCTGAGTGACCCAGAGTCCTCAGAGGGAAGGGCTGGGCCTGGGGCAAAGGAGTCGGCCTGGCTGCGGCCCTGGCAACCTGCCTTCCCTCTCGCTGGCCTTCGGGCCTCCTGCTCCCTCAGGTGCCTCGGGTGAGGGCCCAGGTGAGCTCCCCCGGTGTCGGACCCACAGGGACGGCCCGCGGAGCTCTCCAGTTGCCAGGTTCCCAAAGCCACGAGAACCAGGCGGATCAGCACATCTGCTCAACCAAGACTGCGCAGCCCTCGGGCCATGGCCCTGCCACATGCAGGGCCACACGTGGGACAGTGGCCCTGGACTCTAGAACTCGGGGCTCCCCCGCTGCATACCAGGAGTCTGCCCACGGGCCTGCGCCCACCTCAGGGAGTGCCAGGGCCTCTGGCCTTCTCAGGAAGCAACTGCTGCCCACTGCCCTATGCCCTTGGTCAAGAGGCACTCGCCACCTTTTTCCCAAATAAAAAAAAGAAAGAAAACAGTATTAAATATTTGAAGTATTTTCTGAGCAGCACAGACTCGGCCATCCTTCTGCMGCCAGGGCCAGGTGGTGACTGGCTGGTGGCAGGCCCCCCAAGGCTGGGGCTGGGGTCCTGGGATGGCCAACGTGGGACCTCTGCCCTCTCCCCCACACAAGTCACGAGGCAGCAGCCACATGTACAGAGCAGAGGCTTTTATTAATACGCCAGGAATCCAGGGACACGGCGGGTCCCCAGGTAACAAGTCACCTGTACAAGACCCCGGCGCCGCCCCGCCGTCATACAAAATGATTGTCTGCAAGGTGGAGTAAGGCTGGGTGGGGAGAAGCAGGGGGCAGGAGGCGTCCTCCCCAAAGTGCCACCGCCTCACCGGGAAGGGTGCACAGGGCCACGCTACCCCTGCCAGGCTGTGACCCAGCTGGTAGCAAGGGCCACCTGGTCCCCTTCAGCTGTAACAGGTGAGGGAGGCATCYGAGCTAGAGGAGGTCCCAAGACACTCAGGGATCACATCTGGGGTGACAGCTGTCCCCTGCTTGGTGGGAGAGCTTGAGGGTCAGCTGGACAGGACCACAGGGAACCCTGTGGAGACAGCTGTCCCCAGTCCCCCCTCCCGTCGGCACACCTTGCCCACCTGGTTCTGACTGAAGCCAGGGGCTCCGCCAGGCCAGGGCTGGGAATGGACTGGGCACCCCTGGAACAGGGCCGGCCTCCTGTTGGGGGCTCAGCCCCCGGGTAGAGGAAGGGACTAGAAGAGGCCTGGGTGCTCAGGTCAGGAACCCCTGTCCTCCTCTAGCAACTGCCCCCTCCCTGCTTCCAGAATGCCCGTTTGAATACACAAGGTAAAAGGCACCCGGTTGTGCAAATGAAGTCCCTTCTCTGGAGAGAAGGGTGTGGCCTGGGGCTCCACTTTGAGCTCCCGCATGGCCAGTGGCCCTCCAAAGACCAAGAGGCAACGTCAGCCTCCTGACAACCCTGGGATCACGGCTTAAAGACTCAGTTTCCCCAAGGGCTTTAAGAGCGACCCCCCCCCCCCGCCCCAGGCCTGCAGAGGCTGCTGCAGGCCGCAGCGCCATGGGGATCAGGCTCCCTGGGATCAGGCTCCGGGGCCTCTGTCCACCCCTTGCCCCAGGCCACAGGAAGCGTGGAGGTGGCTGGAGCCAGGTTGGCCCAGGACACCACCAGGCTGGTGCCTGCTCCTGGCCGTCTGTCCTCCCCTGTGTCTGCTGGCACYTGCCAGGACAGCTGGGCCAAAGCCCCCTCTGACCTCACTCTGCCACCACCACCAGCACTGCCTTGCTCGGACACCCCGGGACGCCCATGGCTGAGTGTTTGCCTGGACTCCTGGCCAACCAAGGTCAGGCCAAGCCCACTCTGGCCTCAGTGCCCAAGGTGCGGTGGGGGCTGTGCTGGGGCTGCCACTGTTTGTCCCCACAATTGTCCCTGAGTGGCCTGCTCCAATCCAGCAGCGAGGATACACACACGTGTGAAGGGCCACCGCTGTCCCCCGCATAAGCTGCCACCCCAGCGGATAGCAAGGAGAGGGAGTGAGCCGAGAGGTCCCTCAGGAACCGGCCGGGCCCTGGGCCTCTCGCCTGCCCCTCTTCCTGGTGGCATGGATTCTGCACAAAGTCACTGTAGAAGGACATCCAGCAACAAGGTCTGGACCGCAGGGTGGGAGGGGCTCGGGGCAGCTCAGGGGGCAGGATCCCAGGCCAGCTAGTGCGTCTCCAGCRCCCATCTGGCTCCTGAGAGCTGCCCGCAGGCGAGACCTCGGTCCTCCTCACCCTCCCACAGGTCACAGGTGTGGCCCACAGGAGCATCTATGACACCATCTATGACACTGCCCGGGGCACTTGGGTTCCTTCCTTCCTTAGTGGTTCTGTCCCTAGAGCCAGACACAGGTGCTGTGACAGGGCCACGGGGTCAGTGGGGACACTGGTGGGTGGGAGCCTGCCTGTGAGCCCAGCAGGGACACAGGGGGTGCTGGCCTGACCAGGGCAGCCTGGTTATCAGGCCAGGCTCGGGGGGTCCGTAAAGGGGCTTCTGGAGCCCTCCACAGCGGCCGAACGCACTGGCCAAGGCCCTCAACCGGCCGCCGTGGGGTTCAGGAAGACGGGCCGGTMGACCCAAGGTCAGCTGGTCCTCGGCTCTCCTCTCTGCAGGTATGTGCATCCATGTGAGGCGTCCACGTATGCGATGCGCGTCCCCACGTCCTCTTGGTACATGGTGGGAAGGTAATACTACGTGTTATTGCATAGAAGAGACGGCGTCCCCRCTGGGGCTAGGTGACGGTCTGGGAGCGCGGGCGGCCACCGGGGGGCTGCGGGGCAGTGGGGATGGTGACGCTGCCCAGCTGCTTCTCCTGCTCCCGAGCGTGCTCCTCGTACCACTCCTAGGGAGAGACGGCGTGCTGAGGGCCACCCTCCCCCAGAGGTGGCAATGAGGCCTCTTCTCTGTGCACAGAGGTGGGCACCCTGACAGAGGCCCAGCAGTCACAGTGCCCACCCACGACGGGCATTTACGAAGGGATCCCCGGGCCACCCCTCTGAGCTTGGCACAGTGGGTCCCCACCCGAGGAGCCCAGGCTCCGAAGCTGTGTGGAGCTGGGGTCTGACCACCAGATGCTGCTGCCCCCCGAGAGGGCAGCGAGCCGTTCAGAGGGGCCCACTTGCCCGCCCCCCCAGGCCTGTGTGGAGCAGTAGACTTCCAGGAACTGGGTATGAGGATGATGGCGTTAAAGACTGTCACCCCACATTTTTAAAAGAACCCAAACCACAGACTGGTGGGTGGGAGCCTGCCTGTGAGCCCAGCAGGGACACAGGGGGCACTGGCCTTGTGAGGGTGGCCTGGTTATCAGGCCAGGCTCGGGGGGTTCCGTAAAGGGGCTTCTGGAGCCTTCCACAGCGGCCGAACGCACTGGCCAAGGCCCTCAACCGGCCACCCTGGGGTTCAGGAAGTACCCAGGTCACCCCAGGGCCGTGCCTCCTCCACAGCCTCAGCAGGAGGGGACAGAACTGCAGAAGGGCAGCCTTCTCCCCGGAGGGGATCCCACGTGTTCCTGAGCACTCGTCCCCACTGCCCTGTCCCCTGTCACAGGTGGGAATGGAACCCAGAGCTGGGCCCAACACCGTTTCCATGTCTCTGACCCTAAGCTCACTGGGCACTGCCCCTCGTCCCAGGAAGGCCAACTAGACTAAAGGGCAGCGGTGTCACAGCCCACGTGGCGCTCGGGTACTCGGCACAGTCACCAACGTGGAAAGGTTGGGAGATGGTGGGAGGGAAGGAACTGTAACTTATCTTTTCTCTTAAAAACAAAACAAAACAAAAACAATCGGCCAAACCCCACRGCGGGCCATGAGCAGGGGGTCATTCCCACCAGGTGACGCTCGGCTGCAGGTGAAGGAAGGCGGCCCCTTCTCTGGGCAGCACATCCTCGTCCAAGTGGCCATGTCCCCAGCCCTCCCCGTCCCTCCTGCTGTGCATAGTTGAGGCTGCAGCTCCCGCTCAGAGTGACAGGTGCTGGAGACTCATCRGGGCAGTGGCACCCAGGACAGGCCAGACAGACGGGTGTGGAGGCTGAGCCAGCCGTCCGTCCCGACACCTCAGGCACGGGCGGCCCCTCCAGGATGCCGCTGGGCAGGGTGGCCGTGGGCCCTACCTGGATCTCCTCCTGGTACATCTTCAGGCTCAGGTCGCTTTTGGTCCTCGATCTCCGTCCCAGGAACGTCAGGGAGTTTTGCTGGAGAAGGGCGAAGGCTACTGGATGTGGCTGCAGGGCCCCCCATGCCAAGGCCCGGCCTCCTGCCACCCAGGAGTGCCACCGACACTAGCGGGGAGGGGAGCAGCCACGCTAACCCTGCCCCTCACCTGGTACTTCTCCATCTGCGAGAGGGTCTCGAGCAGCCGGGTGACGTCGGAGGCGGCCCCGGGCGCCCCCCGGTAGAGCTCCAGCATGGCCACCAGCTCCTCTTTGGAGATCTCCTTCTCCAGGGTGATGCCACTGTCAACTGTAGGGAGGGATGGTGTGGAGCCTGCAGCTCTGCAGCCACCTCCCTGGGGCCCCCTGCGGGGTCCCACGTCACCCCCTCCATCTGGCACCTGGGACCCCCTCCCTTCTGCTCTGGGTGTCAGCCTCCTGGAGACAGAGGCCTYGGGAGGGCCAGATTGTTCCCAGAGAGAGAGGGGACACGTGGGGACAGGTGCACAGGCAGCTCTGGTGGAGAAGCTGGAAATAAGGGGTCAGTATGAAGAAAGCTGGGCATCTGGGGGCACCACCTTCCCGAGGCCGGCCGCCGAGGGAGCCCCGCTGGCCTCCGCCCAGTCGGCTGTGTCCACAGCGCCTCAAACGCAGGGGCACAAACTCGATGTTCAGAAACGTGGCGGAACTAACAGAGGAAACAGCTYGTACCGCCTCCCCCAGCCAGGCCGAGACTGGGCTCTCCACTGTCCCTCTGGTTCCAGGCTCTGGGGGCCTGGCAGAGGGACGAGGGGCGTGGCTGCCACACCAGGCCCTGCTCTGTCCGACCTTCAACTGTGACAACGCACGTCTTTAGTTTAAAATGAGGTCGTGAGCACTGTTCTGCTATCCGATGGTGGAAAATCAATACGAGGAGGAGACCTAGGCAGGAGGGTCCCGAGGGACGGACAACCAAGGTCAGCCTGCCAAGGCTGAGACAGACAGACAGGCAGGCAGGCAGAGGGGCACCAGTGCCCGAGACGCGCCCCAACAGACCTTCCGAGCCCTGGTTCTGGCGGCTGTAGTTCATTCGGAAGACGAAGGCTTCCAGGATGAAGGCCACGATGATGGTCATCACCACCTGGCAGGGAGGGAGGGGTGGGTCAGCGGCTGTGAGCACCCTGGGAGCCCAGTTAGGTGCTGCGGCCCAGGTGCGGGCAGGGCCTACCATGGTCACGATGTAGAAGGTCATGAAGTACAGGCGGCTCCAGTGGGAGGTCTGCGAGGTGACCCCTTCCTGTAGAGCAAGTGGGGGGTGGGTGGGGCGGCTCCAGGCTGTCCCTGGCCCTGCCCAGGACCAGGCCTCCCCACTCCACAGACCCATTCTCATTGGCTTTTGCTTGTGGAGGACAGAGGAGAGGGTCCTCGCTCCCCTGGGTCTCAAACTTCCTTCCCACCATAGAAGCCTGGGGTGCGACCCGGGAAGGCCGGTGGCCCTGGGGTCTCTATCAGAAGAAGGGTGGGCTTGGGGAGCTCAGAGAGGGGGACGTGTGCCCAGCGCTTCCCTTCAGAGACAGCGTCTCCCCACGTGGCCCAGATCCCGCCTTGGCCTTCTGAACTGGGATCTCAGGCCACACGGCCCCTCGATACCCTTGTGGGGAGACAGCCAGGCTCGGGCGGCGTGGGGCTCGGGAGGGGGAGGGCGATGCCAGCCTGTGCCACGGCCCCTGCGGAGCCTGGCCAGCCTGACATGGGCCTCCAGGCCCTGCGTGGTAAGGGGCCCCAAGGATGGGGGAGCCCTGGCGCTGAGCCCTTACCATGATGATGTACCAGTTGTTGACAACCGTGAGCTCGAACAAGGTCACTGCGGAGGGAGGGGAAGGGGCATGCGATCAGAGCCCTCCTTCCAGACAGCTCAAGGCCACTCCCTCCCCTGGACACAGGCATCAAAGCCACAGAGTGGACACAGGCCAGCCTCCCTGGGCACCTGCTTCGTGGGGAGTCCTGCCATCTTGGTCTTTCCCCAAAGGGCACCCCCTTTGCCTCGACAGCCCGTGACGGCCCAGGGCTGGGGCAGGTCTTCCTGGGTGCAGACCTGCGCCGTCAGGAGGGGTCCCCTTCCCCACCCGGCAGGACCACGTCCCTCCACCCCTGCCCCCATAGGGGGGACAGGATGGAACTGGGGTAGGCCTCAGCCGGGCAGCGTAGGACCCTGTCACAGCATTTGTGTGGCTGGGTCCCTCTGCGGCTGGCACTGTGGCCTGCGCTCTAGTGCCAGCCTGCACCCTCCAGCTGAGGCGTGAAGTCCTTTCCCCCAAACTGGGGAAGTTTCAGGCAAAGGAATGAAACCTGGTGGCCGAGGAGCCCTCGGCCTGGCCTGGACTCCAGCCCTCCAGCGGGGCCAGAAGGGACTCCACAGAAGGGTGGCCAGCGGCTCAGGAGGGACAGCAGTGCCACCTCTGGGTCCTGCGGTGACAAAGGCAGCCGCCCCCGACTCACCGAAGCTGTTCAGGATGTTGTCGAAGTTGTTGAGGTAGTAGTAGCCCTCCTCCACCACCGTGCGGTTGCCCTCTGTACGGTTCAGCCAGCGGTAGGCGTCCGCCACCGTGCTGGTGCTGGGGAGGCAGAGGCAGGCGGGTCAGGACACGGCTGTCACCTCTGGACCAGCTTGTGTAGACGAGGCCSAGCCTGGCTCCGCTGTTGGCCGGGGCGGGTTTCTTCCCAGCCCTCTCTGGCCCCTGACCCTGCTGGCTCTGCCCCCAGCTGCCTTCACCAGGCCTCTCACAGCTCCAAGGCCACCTCTGCATGTACCCAGCCAGAGGGTGACTCCGAGGTGGCACCTTGCTCCGGGCTCCCAGAGCTTCGCCCCTGTGAGGAAGCCGACTTCCCGTTGCCCACTCGTCCTTTGTGGCCCTTCTGTTAAGTTCCACGTGAACACTCTGGAAGGTCAGCTTGGGCCACGGGGGCTTTTCAGAAGGGAGGGACCTGAGCCTCTGGCCAGAGGTGCCACCTGGCCACACAGCTGGGTCATGCCCTTGAAGAAGCTCCTCTGCTGTAAGGCCTGCGCCTGGCCAACATGGCCTCCAGCTACAAGCTCAGCTCAACAATGTCCACGTTACTTTATTAGCGCTTAGAGAGGCCACCCTGACCCACCTAAAAGAGGACACTGAACTGAGGTGACGGCAGCGCCTGCGGCCCTGTGAGCTGGCTCAGAAGGAGCAGGGCAGGGCTGTCACCGGCCTCCCTCCCACTCCATCTTGAGCCTCGCAGTCTTCCTGCCATGTGTCCATCTGTCCCATCCTAACAGGCTGCCCCTAGGTCCCTGGCCACTCCTGGAAGGAAGTGACTCGAGCCACTGTGGTCTGGGGAAGGACAGCTGCAGGCAGCACAGCTCCTGAGCCCTGCTGGGGTCCGGGGGACTTGCTCCGATCCCCTCACCTGAGTTGACCCCGTCCAGAGCCCCCCTGCGGCACCGGGCACCCTGAGCACCGAGAGCCACACAGAACCACCCCAGGCCTGCAGGTGCCGTGGCTTGACAGGGACCTGGAGGCCGGGCCAGTGCAGTCCCAACTGGGGCCGAGGCGCAGGCGGCAGGCCTGGGGGGTGCAGCGGCTGACTCACTTGCAGCAGTTGGGGTACAGCAGGCCGCAGAAGAACTCCATGCCCACGATGGCGAAGGCGTAGTAGAAGGTGAGCAGGGTGAGGCCGAGGCTGGGGGCGCAAAAGCACAGGTGACGGGGGGCCAGGCGGGGCCGGCTCCTGCGCTGCCCGGCCTCCTGGGACCCTGAGCTGACTGCAGGAGAGGCATGCCCCTAGCCAGGCTAGCGACTGGACCGACTGGACCAACTGGACCGTGCCTGCAGGGGAGGGGCCTGCGGCTCCCGCATGGGGTAGGACGGCTCAGTGCAGGACTCTAGGGACAGGCGCCCCTTGGCCAGAGACTCGCCCTTACCTGTGAAGGCAGGTCACAGGTGCCCTTACCTGTGGACGCAGACACGGGGGTAAGTGAGTTGGCAGCTCCCCGCCCCCCTACTAGATACTCAAGACAGGTCAGTAGAGGAGAGCAGTGCCGGGGACCTGTGTGGTCAGATGGGCCTCCTTCGAGACCCTCGACCCTCGAGTTCCAGTCCTTCCTGGGCCTCCTTGCCCCACTACCACCCAACTCCCAGCCCCCACGGGGCACGAGCTTCCTGGTGCCTGGACCTGCGGGCCAGGAGGAAGGGCAGTACCTGGCCATCCGGGGCAGCAGCTCAAACATGGTGTCCAGCACGTTGCGGTATCGCTTCTTCAGCTTAAACAACCTGGGCAACGGCAGAGCGCCGTCAGGCATAGAGGCAGGACGCGCCCAGGTGGGGGTGCGGGGCCTCATGACGCATGCAGCTGGACGGGGCCCCAGAGTGGACGGGACACTGCCCCTGGGGTGGAGCAGTGCCACGTCTCCTAGGGCATCACCGGGGAGGAGGCGGCAGCCACCATCCACCAGTTTACAAATGAAGCAGGTGGCCTGTGGGCAAAGCCCTGCTGTGGAGGAGGGGACAGACACCAAGCCCACAGAGGGACTCATCAACAGAGGGTGGCAGCCTGAGAGGAGGGACATGCAGGCCCAGCCTTGGACACCGCAGCAGCAGGCTCTGCCTCCATGGTAGGCCCCGGCCGCCTGCCTGCCTCCCTCCAGGAAGGACGTGGGCTGCAGGTGGGCAGGCGGGGAGGAGTCCCCACTTCTGAGGGGCCCAGAGAGGCAGATGCTGTGGGTGGAGGGGACCCCATGGGGAAGATGAGTCCCCTCCCAGAGGCAGGGCCAGGGAAGCACCCGGCGTCCTGCGTGCCCCTGCTGAGCCAGTCTGACTGATGACTCTGGGCATGTGGTATGGGTGGTGGCCGAGCTCCCATGAGCAGGATCTGGGGCGCTCACATGGCCAGGAACACGGGGCCCATGTGCCCCAGGGGAAGGCAGTGGCCCTGCTCAGGCTATGTCTATAGGGCTGTGACATCTGCAGACTCCAGCCCCAGGTCTCGGGCTCATTCTGGGTCCCTCCACTTCCCCAGAGTTCTTCACCTTCCCTCTGTCCCCAGCCCCTGTCACCTTAGCAGCTGGAGGGGACGCAGGACCACTATGAAATAGAAGGGTTCCATGTTGAGGGCCAGAGCTAGCAGTCCCAGGAGGGCGAAGGCTGTGACGGAGAAGTCGAACCTGGTCCGGGAGAGAAGCAGAGGCTGCGAGCGGCCTGGGGACTAGGGACCCTCCTCCATCCACTCCCCGTCTCTAAAAGCCAGGACCAGCAGGGTGAAGGCAGGCCACGAGGGGCCACGTCCAGCCAGGTCCAGGGAGCACCCTCCTGCTGTCTTATGGTCACTGAGGGCCAGCGGGCCAGGCCTGTCAGTGCAGGTCCAGGGATCAGGCCTCACACGAGCTCTTGGGGACAAACATCTGGGGACTCTGCAATGGTCTAATGACAGAGAGCAGCAGGCATGGCCTCTGCTGTGCCCAGGACCTCTGTCACACTGGGGCCTGTCCATCCCAAGAGACCTTGTGAGGGAGAGAAGGGGACTCCGGCGAGACCCCCACCAGAGTGGGACACTGGCCCTTCCCTCAGACACACATACACACAATCTCCTGGACTTTCTGGCACTTTCTCTGAGTGCTGGGGATGGAACCTGGTGATTCCTTCCTGCTAGGGGAGCGCCCAACCGCTGAGCTGGCCCCCGCCTCTCTCCTTCCCTGGGAGTGGTCTTCCAGGTGGCCCACGGGTGGCCCACTCTGGCCTTGAGCCTCAACCTCCCAAGCTCTGAGGCTGCAGTGCCCCCGCTGCCCTCCCGTCCTGGACTCCTCTGGTGGACTGGCTTGACTCTACCCAAAACGCCACACGTCACAGGTGAGTGGCCTTCAGTGGGAGGGGAGGGACGCCTGAGCTCAAGGAGGGCAGGGTGGGGCCCTCGCTGTGGCACTTGGTTTCAGGAAAAAGAGGACAAGACTCCAGAGGGGCCTAAGGGACCTCAGGGCCACTTCCTGGAGGGGGGCTGGTGACGAGGGGCTTCTGACGGGAGCTGGGCTCTGGGCGGCCCTGGGCTGTGCAGAGCTGCTCCAGGGAGACAGGCCTCTGCCCTCAGCCTTCCCCCGGCGTCCCAGGGGGGACAGGATGGCAAGGGGACTCGATGGCAGGGAGAGGACACGATGGCAGGGCACAGGGGAGGACACGATGGCAGGCCACAGGGAGGGGCACAATGGCAGGGCACAGGGGGGACAGGACACAATGGAGGGGCACAGCGGGGACAGGATGGCAGGGCCCAGGTAGGGGACAGGATGGCGGGGCGCAGGAGGGACAGGATGGTGGGGTGCAGGGAGGGGATAGGATGGCAGGGCACAGAGGAGACTCTGGGCTGGCAAGAGCGGCCCACTCACAGGTTCCAGCCTGAGGACAGGTACTCCACGGGGCCCAGGCCAGCAACTTTCAGGAACAGCTCCACCCCATAGACTGTGGACAAGGCGGCGGTCAGCACCCTGCCCGCTCGGCTCAGGCGTGTCCTTGGGGCTCCCAAGGCCACAGGGCCTGGCCCAGGTGGGGGCCGACGGGGCTGCCTCATCCTCTTTGGGGATGGCCCAGAACCCAGGCATTTGCTGACACACTCCCTGGGCACCTCCCATGCCAGGCGTCGTGTGGGCACCAGTGGGCGACGCTGGGCCACGCCTGCTGTCCGGGTCTGGGGTCTGGGCAGTGAAGGGGACAGCATGGTGTCAGGGAAGTCCCTAATGGGACAAGGAGGCCAGGCAGAGAGAGGGGCAAGGAGCTCACACAGAAGGAGCCTGAGCACAGGCCGAGGAAGGTGTGGGTGTGGACAGGTCGCGAGTCTCCACGTGTGAGCAAGGACAGCGAGAGTGGCAAGGGGCAGGCTTGCCAGGCCTGGTGAGCTGGAGGCCACTGTGCTGGGGGAGGTCAAACCTGGGCCTGGACCTGCCCTGAGGGCGAGGAGAGACCCTGAGGAGGGACAGGGCTAGGCTTCCGCCCGCTCCCCGAGGGTCCCTGTTTGGGGAAGCCAAGGCCCCTGGCCKCGAGGCTCCGGGAACTTACTGGTGAGAAAGACCAGGTAACTCCAGGGCACGCGCTTGGAGAAAAAGTTCCCGCCTGCAAGACAGAGGAGCCCGCTCAGGGTGAGCGGCCAGCAGGGAGGGGGCACCCCAGCCTCAGCTCACCTTTCAGCATAAACGTCTCCACGAGGATCCACATCCCGTTGACTGCTACCACCAAGTCTGAAATAGGCCACARGGGGACAGACAGGACAGGGGGCTCGGGACCCTGCAGTGGCAGCTGCGTCCCTGGTTGACTTCTGGAGAGCTCTGGGGCGAACAGAGAACAGGGCCACCCCACCGAGGGGGAGCTCCCTCCTGCTCAGGGATCTCATTATAGAGCCCAGTCAGTAGGGCTCCACTCAGGGACAGCCAGCCACAAAGTCCCCTCTACGTCACTGCCAGGAAACCAGGAGACGTCCGGACTATGCCCCATTGGTGTGAATGCAGGGCACACGCAGGGGCTGAGGATGGGAAACCGTCCCCCGGGGCGTCTGAGTGTGAAGGACTCCGTGAGCTACTTGGCAGAGGTGCAGAGCAGCGAGCCCCCTCACCCAGCAGGCCCTCGGCCAGGGATGCCCCAACAAGGCACTCGCCAAAACCCAAAAGGAAGAATACAGCCAGCGGCTCCTGGCAGTGCCGCTTAAATGGTCACGCAGGCGCTGGGTGAAAGGTCACTGCTGGGCACAAGGCAGCCTGCGACGGGGGGGGGGGGAGCCGGGGGGGCCTCCAGGACACGTTCACTGGGAAGGAAAGTGTCCAGTTGCCGCTGTCTGTCGGCTTCAGACGGGGAGAAACCTTACAGTGTTTAAAAAACAAAGAAAAACCATAATGAAATCACCCACGGGGGAGGTGACAGGGAAAGTCTCAACTTCTTGAGTGTGTGTGTTTTGCAGATCTGACTYGGAACCATATAAATAGTCTACATGATCAGAAGCAATCCCCCCAAATCAAAAACAAGATGAAATAAAGGAAGACAAAAGCGTATCCACCCGGAGGAGGCACCCGGTGAGCCAAACAGTGGCCGAGTGGCCCAGAGGGATGCGGCTAGTCCCCACACCCCTGGGACTGTGCTGGGTCTGAGTGACTATGCCAGTGGTGTTGGGCACCTGTGTGTCAAGACCGGGGGTCCAGCCCTGTCAGATTGCTGGAGTGAGGCGGGCACCCCGCGGTCCTGAACACTGAGTATCAGGATGAACACGCAACAGTCGTTATTTACTGTTTTATTTATTTACTTATTTACCAGGGATTGAGCCCAGGGGCACTTAATCACTGAGGCACGTCCCCAGCCCTTTCTAAAACTTTATTTATATAGACAGGGTCTCACTGAGTTGCTCAGGGCCTTGCTAAGTTGCTGAGCCTGGCTTTGAACTTGAGATCCTCCTGCCTCAGCCTCCCAAGCCACTGGGATTACAGGTGTGCGCCACCGTGCTCCACACAGTTATCTTTTAAAAGGTAATATGCTGGGCTGGGGCTGAGTGGTAGAGGTCTTGCCTCACACCGTGCAACACCCTGGGTTCGATCCTCAGCACCACAGAAAAATAAATAAATAAATGAATAAATAAAAAAGTATTGTATCCACCTACAACYAAAAAATAAATATATTTTTTTAAAAAGGTAGAAATGCTAGCCACTTCCATGGAAAAGCCTAGTAACAGTCACCAATCCCAAGCCAGGAGCACCCCCAGCACGTCCGACTGTGGTCTCTAAACACGACTTCCTGCTAAAGGGACCGAAGCTCCTTGCAAAGACTGAATCTGCTTGAGCCTATAGTCTGGTTCTGTCCAAGAGAAGCTTCCGTGGTGATGGAGACATTCTTATCTGTACAGTTTGGTCACTGTTTGAGGCTACTGAGCACTTGAAATGCTAGGGGTAACTGAGTTTTTATTTTAAATTAGCTTAGAAGTTACTAGCAGAGTCTTGGTTTCCAAATGACAGGAAATACGCACCAGGGGAGCATGCAAAAACCAAGAAAAAGGACTAACAGCCCCATTTCCTCAACTGAACACTGCAAGAGGGAGAAAAGAAGAACAGGGCTTGGTGGCACATGGCTGTCATCCCAGAGGCTCGGGAGGCTGAGGCAGGAGGATCTCGAGTTCAAAGCCAGCCTCAGCAAAAGTGAGGCACTAAGCAACTCAGTGAGACCCTGTCTCTAAATAAAATACAAAATAGGGCTGGGGATGGGGCTGAGTGGACAAATGTCCCTGAGTTCAATCCCCCAACAAAGAGGGAGAAAGGGATGGGAAAGAACCTGCAGATTCAAACAGCCCGAGGAGAAACAGCAACCTGTTCTGGAACGTGTCTGAACGCATCCTGATCTAAACGGACGAGGAGCTGGAGTGAGGGTCCAGACCACYAGGAAGGCCTGGCCTGCGGTGACATCTGCCGTCCCTGGTGCTGGCACACAGAAGCGCCGSCATGGTCTTCCTCCCTCCATATTGACTGACTGACTTAGCGCTGGGGAGGGAACCCGGGGCCTCACACACGCTGTCCACTGAGCTACACCTGCTGACCAGGCTGGGCATCACTGTTTCCCCTCCACCGTGTAGAACAGCAAAGGCTCAGGAGCGAAGGGCCAGGGACAGGCCACACTTACACATGAAATACTGGAAGGCCTTGGACTTCACCAGGATGTTGATTCCTGTTTGGAGAGGAAAYGTTCAAATGAAATCCTCACCTGAAGGACACTGTCCCCAGCCACACACTTCATGGACAGGTCAACCAGGACATCGATGCCCAGGGCTGCAGAGGGAGGGCCTGCCTGAGGGAGCCSGTGCTTCTGCTTGGACCCCAAGGGGACGCACCTGGAGCCCACCAGCACAGCCAAGCTGTGTCCACTGTGGGACTTCCGCTGCAGCTCCTCAGCCCGGCCTACCTGTCCACCCACCCATTCAGCTAACGGTCATCCATGGGGCAGAGAAAACCCGTGCCCAGCGAGGGCCCAGCTGTGGGAAGCATCCCGGTGTTCACGTGGCAGCTCAGCCTTGTTCCCAAGAGCCCAGACCCAGGCTTAGGCTGTGACACAAGAAAGTCCTTGTGGGCCAACCACACACCCACACAGAACTGCCAAGATTCAAAGTCCTCTATTGTTGTAAACACACCAAAAAACATCAGAAAGGCCCAGGTCAGAGAGCCGAGTGGCCATCTTGGGGTGGATAAATTTCACTTTCTTCCAATGAGCTGACTTTCTAGATTTTCTTCAATGAATACTATTGCTTTGGTCTAAGTGAGGAAGTATCCAGAAGGTCCCGCTGCTGTTGTGTCATGCACAGGCCACCCCCACGAATGTCTGCCTGTGGCCTCCGAGACCCCCGCCTGCCCCAGCTGTGGGTCACCCTCAGGTGGACCTCACCTTTGAAGATGAGGAACGCGGTCCTGGGAAGCTCGTCGAACCAGTGCTCTCGGTTTCTCTTGACCTGCGGGGCAGTGGGCGCAGGAGTCAGGCCAGGGCGTGGCCCCTCCTCCCTGCCAGTGCAGCTGACCCAGAACAGCCGAGTGACAGCAGCACGGGCAGCCACGGGGCACCTGGAGCCCGCGGGGCTCCTGCCCGACTTTCCCCTGGTCCCGGACTCCCTCCAGAGGGGACTTGCTCCCACAGGTGAGCCAGGCACCTGGGAAGCTGGGCTAATTCGCCTGACGTCACAGAAACTGGATGCGCTTAACCACAACCCTGCGTCAGCACGTGGGGGCTGACGTGGGGGCCGGGCCCTGCTGTGCCAGGCGCCAGGGGTGCACCTCTGAGGCCTCCGTCCCCGCTCCCATTGGGCGCCCCACCCCGCCCTCTCCCAGGTACTCGCCTTCCACTTGAGGGCGGCGACTTCATAGATGTCATAGAAGTCCTTCAGGCTGTCAGAGCAAAAGGAGGAGGCACACGCTGGCACCACCCGAGCCCTGGCTCCCACTCTCACAGGGAGCAGGGGACAGCTCGTGAGTCCCAGCATGTCCTCTGATCTCCTGTCCCGGGGGACTTGGGTCACCCAATCAACCAGCCATGCTGACTGATCCCCGTGGTCCACGTTGATGCKGACAGTCTCCACGCCCGGGAGCAGCCGCAGAACACCGCGATTTCGAGATGGACGCTTAGCGTCCTCCAGCAGAGGCCCCGGGGAAAGGCTGGACTGAGCACACCCCAGTAGGAGGCTGCTTCGGAGCCTCAGCAACAGCTCGGAGACCCTTCTGCCCACCGAGACCTTGGCTCAGTTCTCTGCAGCTGTGCCGGGCGCGTGTGTGTGCGCATGTCCACSCCCTCCGCCCACTGGACGACCCCTGCCCTGGGCTCCAGTGCCACCGGCTGGGCCAGGGCAGACATTCCTTTTTCATCCAGCCTGCCTGGCAGTTGGACCTCTGTGACTCACAGAGGGATCCCGACACACACCACCCACCCGTAGAAGCTCAGGGACAAACGGAAATCTAATGAGCCTCTGCCACCTGCTCCCGCTGCCCTGGCGCCCCAGCTCCTGGGGTGAACGCCGTGTCTGGCCGCGCTGCCCCCACTGGCACCGGCTCTCACCTGAGCAGAGGTGAGTCGCTCTGATTCAGGGCCTTGAAAGTCAGAAAGCGCTCCCGGGCRCTCATCCGGGGCTTGTAGAAGCGCATTAGGCCTTCGAACTGCCTGTAGGAGATGCCCGCGGGCCTCTGGGGGGCGGAGGACAGGAGGTGGATCAGGGATCCAGCCCAGACTGTTCCCCACCCAGGGCAGCCAGGCTGGACGCCAGCACACACCCCAGGCCCTGCTCCTTCTCCCTGGCAGGACTCTGGTCTGTGAAGTCTCTGGCCCCACCAGGCTCAGGGGCTGCTCCGGGCAGGGGCAAAGCAAGGCCCACCCCTGCCCGCGCCCCTACCTGCTGGCTGACAAGGAGGCGGTAGGCGTGCTGGATGGCAGTCCTCTTGTGCAGCAGCAGAGACTTGAACTTGCGCTTCTCGATGTCACTGAAGGTGTCGAACACCACGGCCAGGAGCTGCGGGGGAGGCAGAGCCTGATTGTGCGCCCTGCAGGGCCGGACCGGCAGGAAGGCGTCACCAGCCAGCCAAGGGGACTGGAGACCCCCGCATGCATCCCRGGATACAGGACTCTGGTGGCTCTCCACAGGAGCCATTCACTGCCACCTGTCCCTGGCTGGGCCGGGGACAAGCGAGGGGACAAGGAAGCAGCAAGAGGGGCAGGAAGAGACATCATGGCRGTGTTCTTCCTCCTGCTCCTAGTACTTGTGTGTCAGGACTTCATGGGTGGCCCAGAAATAAGGGGGGGAGGAGGCCGTGCTCAGGAAGCAGCCTCAGGGATGCCTGGTACCCTCAGCTCAAGGACACCAGCTACATTACTAGAGGGCAGGGGGCGGGAGGGGGAATGGGACGGAATCCCTTTCTGGAAACACCCCATCTTTCACAGGCGTTTTGAGGATGCTCTCCTGCCCTTCCCACCTTCACATGGGCCCCCCATTTACTCTGTGCAGGTCACGATGCGCGACTCTTCCCTAGCTGGGCCACGCACCCAATATTTCAGGCTATGAAGGCCAGGTGGCTGCCGCCACTCCCAGCTGGCCATACCAGGTGTTCTGTGAAACCAGCCACAGAAATGAGCCAGCTGGTGGGCGTGGCCATGTGACAATGGAACTTTACGACCTGGCCTGGGCCAGGTCGCTGACCCTTGCCCCAGACTGTTGCCCCCACGACATTGTATAATTTTTGGTTTTCACCCACGGTTCCTGCCCTGACTGCCTCCCAAAGCCAGCCACAGGAGGGAGAGGGCCTCCTCCCTGAGGTGGTCACAGGAAGCCAAGCTCCCGTCCAACAGGCCACGGCCCCTCGCCTTTCCACGGGCAGCTGTCCTGCGGCCTGGAGGAGAGGCCGCCCAGAGAGGTCGAGTGCAGGCAGCAGGGCAGGGGACAGTGAGGGTGTGGAGGCTCTGACAGCCTCCCTGGGCCTCCACCCTGCGTGGCTGCACTTGTGACCCTGAGTTCTGGAGCACCTCCAGGTGGCTTACTGGTGGAGAGAAGGCTCCTCCCTGGAGAGGTCCCAGGAGCCTCCGTGACTGTGGTGTGAGTGAGGGGACAAGCCCTTGCTTTTCCCAACAGACAGTTCTAAATAGGTCACAGGGTAGGGCTTACGCAAGAGGCTGGGAGGCCACTGTCTTTCTTTTAAACATGGTCATAAAAAGAAAGTGTCTTCTTTTTTTGAAACTAGAAATGTCTGGATTTCACAAGTCTGCCCAGAGAAAGCGTCTTCCATGTCCATCTGAGCCGGACTCCGTGACAGTGTAAAGTGCTTTCTGGAAATGGACCAATAAGCCTAACAGGCTGGGGGCAGCTCACTGGGGAATAGCACTGGCCAGCACCCAGTCCCAGGCTCCCCCTCAGGGACAAAAAGCCCCTGCCAGCTCTGGCGCTGACGCATGGTCTCACCCAGCGCTGGCGGGGACCTGGAGGACAGCCTGGTGGCCAGCCTCTCTCAGCAGGCACCCCCAGAGCCCTCGAGTGCTCAGGGTGCGCGTCTCCTGAGTGGAGGGTGCTCCAGCTAGATCCTGGGGTTCCTGATGAGCGGGGCACAGGCACACAGTGCTCCTGGCCTGTGGACACAGGGCAAGGGTGGTTGGGCAGGGCCCCGGGGTCTGTCCACAGGGCCACACTGGGCTGTGCCCTGGGCTCACTCCTCTATTGGTCTCACACTTGCAATTTCTGCATCTGTCGCAGTCACAACAGCCCCTGGCGGCGGGGTGGGGGGTGAGGTGCTCCACCCTCAGGTCTGAAGTACCTTGCAGCCTGGCTGGGCAGGGTGGACGCCAGTCTCCAGAGTCACTCTGCCTGTGCTTCAAGAATGACAAGATCCCTGAGCAGTCCTGGCCTGAAACCCGGCACCGTTGGCAGCAGCACTGACCCTGACAGGATGCCACCAATAGGGGCACCTGACATAGTCCCCAAACGTCACACCTGCCAGGAGCCTGGGCCCCACCCATGGCCTGCCCAGCCTCTTACCAGGTTCATGATGAAGTAGAGCTCGATGGACAGGTACACGATGAAGAAGGCGCAGGACCAGGGGCTCCGGGCGTAGGCGGGCATCATCACATCTGGGAAACTGACGCGCACAGGGTCAGCCGCGGGGCCTCCAGGGACATGCCTGGCGCAGGACAGTTCCCTGCGCAGCCCACACTGGGCCCTGAGGCTGAGCCCCAAGTGGAGCATGGCAGCCGAGGTGTGCAGTGCCCTTGGCTGGGCCCATGGAGGACGGAGGGGAGGGTGCCCGGACTCACTTGGCCGTGGTCAGGAGGACGAACAGGCTGACGATGCTGTCCTCCAGCGTGTGGAAGTACTGCGGGGGGCGCGGGGACACGTGAGGGCACACTGTGGCCAGGCCACCTGCAGCGCCAGCCCTGCCCACCTGCTCCCCTCCTGCTGAAGAGCTCCTGGGAGGGCAGAGCACGGAGGCACCCTCTGGCAGGGGCAGGCCACCAACTTCGGGGGACATGTCTGGGCAAGGAGCCTGCTCTGCCAGTGTCCTGGCATTCCAGGCCTGGTCTTGGATGCCCTCCTCAAGGGACAGGAGGGACTGCCTTGGCCCTGAGGTGACCAAGAGCCCAGGTCTGTGGCTCTCAGGGGCCAGGAGCCAGGCAGAGTGTCCCTTCCCAACCTGCCTCGCGCTCACTCCAGCCCCCTTGAGGGACAGCCACAGGAAGAGACCGCGGCCTCGGCTGCTTACCGGATCAGCAGGGTTGGAGGAGAACAAGTAGAAACCTGGAGGGTGGCAGAGGAAGACCAGAGGTGTGAGAGCGGGAGTCCCAGGGCCAGGAAACTGAATGTCACACACGTGGTGGCCGCACTGGGCCCCAGGCGTGGAGGGGGCTATGGGCCCAAGAGGTCATGCTGTTTGAAGGAGCTGGTGCTCCGCGCTCTGGGGGCCCACTGCCCCCAGAAACGTGCCCAGGACGGACAGCCTTTCTCTAGCATGGCTGCGGACCTGTATTTTGCGGAGTCTGGGTCTAAAGAGCCGCCCAGCTCTGCAGACCAACAAAGCCCATCTGGGGGCTGGATCTGGAGCCCTGGCCTGGAGGACAGAGTGGCCAAGTCAAGTCCCAAAGGGGTCCTCCTGCTCCCCTGAGCCAGGGTCCTGGGGAGGGGCACCCTTCCTGTCCCAAGTCCTTGGAATCCTGAGTGAGAAAAGGGGGACTCTCCATCCTCAGATGCAATCTGTACCCCAAGAAGCACAATGTGATTCACCCAGGGCAGGTGGGAGGAGTGGGAGGACACGGCTCAGGACTGGGTGGTCATGAGGGCTCCTTGGTTCTGGGGCTGTCACCACCCAGGGGTCTCTGGAGACATGCCTCTGTGGCATGCTGGAACACACCATGAGCCTGGGCCAGGATGCCAGGTCACACTGCCTGTCTAAAGAGCCCAGACCTCTTCCAGGTGACAAAGGCCGGTCCCGGGGGGCCTCCTGTGAGGCTGGATCCTGAGCCAAAGGCCCAGGCACATGCCGCAGGGGAACTAGGGCACCTGCGCTGGGCGGCACCAAATCACGCGCCGCAGCAGGTCTGAATGTGGCCAGTGTCCACAGCAGCAGACCAGGGGCACGCCTACTGTATTGAGGGCAGCGTCAAGGAGCTACGTCTGCACGTATCAAAAGGCATAAGCCCAACGGGCACAAGAGAGCAACCTGCCACCCGGGCTACGGTGCCCACCTGGGGTTCTCAGCCACGTGGGAGGCCGAGGCAGGAGGGTCAGAGGTACGATCGACCAKCCTGGGAAACTTAGTGAGACCTTGTCTCAAAATAGAAAAGCGGGCTGGGGACACAGTGCAGTTGGTAGAGGGCTTCTCTCACACGCATGGGCCCTGGGTTCAATCATCAGCACCGCAAAAAAAAAAAAAAAAAAAAAAAATGGCTTGGGGATGCAACTCAGTGGTAGAGGGCTTGGGGTTCAACCCCCAATGTTGCAAAAAAAAAAAGAATCCAAGAGGCCCCAGAGACCCCCTCGCGTGAGATGCAAGAGGAAGGTGCCAGCTACCGACTGGGAACCACCCTCACCAGATGCTGGGTCTGGGGCACGCTGACCTGGGACTCGCAGCCTCCAGGACCGTGGGCAGTACATTCCCATTTCCAAGCCACCCAGCCCACGGTCCTTGACGACAGCAGCCTGGGGCAGACACTGCCCACTGAGAAGGTCTTCCTGAAGGGCATGGGTTGCTCACCGAGGATGGCGAAGATGATCATGAAGAAGAGCAGCAGGAGCAGGATGTCCATGAAGGGGGGCAGGGACTGGAAGATCTGCCGCAGGTTGCTGGGGAGAGAGGGGCGGCTGGGCTGGGGGCCGGCCCGGGCTGGCGGGCGGGAACAGGGCAGGTGTGACAGACACAGCACCAGTCCCCGTGGCCCAGTTGAAGAGGGCCCACAAGATCAGGAAGGGCACCAGGCCAAGCACAGGGCCTCGGGCACCAAGGTCAGCTCCCAGAGATACCCCAGGGACGTGATTCCCACCCTGCCATGGGCACAGAGGAGGCCCTGCTGGCCACTGTCACCACAGGTCCCCCACGAGACAGTCTTGGATGGGTCTCCAGAGACATGTGACTCTGGGTGTGGGCTGGCACCGGTGTGGTCCTGGAGCCCGGGGAGGCACCAGGAGGGCCTGCCCGATCCACCATGATGCTTCACACGGCCGCCTGCTGGGGCGGGTGCTGCTGTGCCCAGCAGGTGACAAGCAAGTGGCACGCTCTGTGGGGAGCTGGCCCCAGAGGGCAGCAGGCAGGACGGACAGGGCCCTGGACGTGGAGTCAGGGAAGCTCAACCCACAGGACCCGCCTGCCCGTGCCAGGTCAGCAGGGGCTCCAGCTCCACAGGCCAGAGGTCAAGGTTGCCCGCAGCAGGGCCCATCCACACAGCCCACCCCGAGCCTTACCGCCGAACGCCGCCGCAGTACCGGCAGTCCACCAGGAAAATGCAGCGCAGGGCCCGGGTCACCCGCACGTGGGACGTCTGCCGCACCAGCACCACGATGGCCTCCGCGAACTGCACCACCAGGACGCAGGTCTGGACGGCAGGCCCAGGGCGTCAGGCCACAGCCGGCCCCCACCCCAGCGCACCCAGCAGTCCCAGGGACTGCTCCCCGCCACAGCCCACAGTCACCTGCCCTCGGCATCCACCAGCCTCCCCCACGTCCACTCCCACCAGGAGGCCCTGGAGGTCTGGGCCCAGCCTGACCTCCGCTCCCTGGGGACATTCTCCTAGACGGGTGTGCACACTCGTCACACTGCCGAGCGCCACCTCGACTCGCCCTACTGAGGCCTCCTCTGCCACACAAGAGGTGCACAACGCTGGGGCGGTCAGCGCGGGGMCAGCAGGCTGACCGGACCCCTCCCTTCCGCCTCGCTGCATGTGCACTGTGCTGGGCACACACCTACGGTGACCCAGAGTGTACCAACACGGAGCCCCAGGACTGTGCTGGTACCCCCAGGACACCTGGGGACGTGCCGAGGCTGGCAGGACCCAGGGTGACATCCGTGGGGGATTTTAAATCAGTCCAAAGATACAGGTTTGAAGCACCCACGGGAGAAACAGGCGCCACACAACGGGCAGACAGACACATCACCTTGACCATGGTCCGCTTGTGCCGGACGAAGGTGTGGAGGCCCAGCCACCGCGATTTCATGCAGAGCTCGAACACCACCACCATCAGCGCAAACAGCTCCAGGGTGGCGTGGACCTGCAACCAGGCATGGGGCGTGGCAGGCCACCATTCAGGGCCACCTGTCTTGGCCCCACCCCCAGGGCCTGGGAACTGCCAGGGCCCCTTCCTAACACACACAGCCCTGGACGCAGAGCGTCCCCAGAACATCTCCACACGTGGACTGTGCACCTGGCGAAAGGCCGGGCCTAGGGCGCGAGGGAAGGAGCAGAGGGGTGACAAGACTCCCATCTAGTTCCAGGAAGGACACCATGAAATTTACAAAGACCCAGAGAAGAACATTAAAGCAGCACGGAAAAGGGACTTAAAAACCAAGGGGACAATCCAGGCTCTGAGAAGTGGCCCCCCAGTCTCGTTCCCCAGTTGGCACCAGGACAAGAACGCAGGGAAGACCTAAATGAGCCTCGTCTGCTCAGGGTGCTGTATCCTCCAGGGGACAGGGTCCCCCGGAGGAGGGAGAGCCAGCTCCAGGAGCAGTGGTGGGGACAGGGTAGCTGGGGAAGGGTCACAAGGGCCTGGGGCCCAGGCTGCTCAGTGAGGGTGTCCTTTCCTGTTCCTGCTTGAGCAAGGGACATGGCACTCCCACACACCACCAGGCCCAGTGCTGACCAAGGGCTCTGCTGGGCAAGGCATCTGTGGGACTGGACCGTCCTCCTGCCACCGGTGGCCCCAGCTAACTGCTTTCTTGTCGAGGTTGGAGACAGTGAGCAGACAGTGGGGTGACCGAGGGGCGGGTACTGGTCCTGAGGGACACCAGTGGGACACCTCTCTGACAGACTCCCGGGGAGGCTGCTGACCCCACTCACCCAGTGAGACTGTGGGGTCCTYGGGACTTCAGTGGCTGCCCTGAGATTGTTTCAGGTCTGCTGCAGCCCCTGCCCTTCCAGAATGTTCCCTCCTGCTGTCTGCCCCAGAAAGCCCCGCTCGCTGGCCCCAGGCACTCACGTAAATGCCGAGCCGGAGTGCGGGGACGGCAGGCGCCTCACACAGGGACAGCAGCAGCAGCAGCAGGGCGGTCAGCAGCTCCATCAGGTAGAAGAGGTGGTTGTGTACGAAGAGGTAGGCCCCCAGCGCCCTGGCGTCCTTGGGGTGGGTGAAGAACTTGTCGTTGTTCTCGCCTTCCTGAAAGGACGGGCGTGTGGGCGCGCCAGCCAGGGTGACTCCGGGTGACCCAGAGGTGCGGTGGCAGGGAGAGGGGCAGGCCCAGGCGAGGACTGGGAAGAACTYGGGCGCAGCTGGCCCCGCCTCACCCCCTGGACAGGCCAGAGAGACAGCAGCTGCTCAAGACCCAGGGCGGGTGCCTGGTGGGTCCAGAGTGGGCACCCAAAAGCTCACGTGAGAAGCAGGACGGTCAGAGGAGGAGCCCCRGGTCAGGAGAGCCTTGACCAGCCAGCGAGCTAATCGCCTGATAGGGATGGACACGGGGTGACGCGGGCAGGGGGTGTGGCTGAGGAGGTGGGTTCTGGGGGTGCCCCGGGTTCACGATCTGTCCAATATCCAGTCCCTGCCCCCTCTGCTTCCTGGAGCCACGTTCCCAGCTGCTCCCCTGGGCCACGCTCTTCTGCCACGAGGTCCTGCCTCCCCTCAGGCCACCTGTGGACTGAGCCCTCTGAAACCGGGAGCCCCAAATACACTTTTTCTCCTCTAAAGTTGTTTTTGTTGGGTCTTTTGGTCACAGCAGCAAATATGGAAATTATCTCAGCTTTCACAGGAAAATGGGCCAACACCGTGCCTTTAGGACCCTTCTAAACCCAGGGAGAGCTGCCCGGAGGGGGACCACGGACTCTTATTAACTCAGGCTGCCCGCATCCTAATCCCATTTTTTGGACAGATGATAATTGCACTTATTTATGGGGCATGATGATGTTTGGATATAGGATCTGTTATGGAGTGACAAAATCAACTAATCAATACTCACCCCTATTCACCTTTCTTTTTTCTTTCTTTTTCTTTTTCTTTTTTTTCTTTTGTAGCAGGAACATTTAAAAYCTACTCTCTAGGGGCTGGGCTGGGGCTGAGCAATAGAGCGCTTGCCTTGAGGCCCATCCTTAGCACCACATAAAAAGACCTAAATAGATATTGTGTCCACCTAAACTAAAAAAAGTATTTCAAAAAATTTTTTTAAATTGACCATCTCAGCAATTCTGAAACAGACACACCACATCATTAACCACGGTCACCACGCTGGACAAGGGTCTCAGGGACTCAGTCCTCCTGTCTGACGGAAGCTTTACTACCTCACCTGCTCTGCTCGCCCTGGTAACCCCATTCAGCCTCCACCTCTGCAACCTCACTGTGAGGCGGGCAGCGCTGCCTTCCTGTGGCGGCTCATTCCACATCACATCTCGCTCTCCAGGTCCATCCACACTGTCGCAAATGACAGGAGCTGGTCCCCTTTCGAGGCACACAGTCTATTCTGAGTCTACCCCAGGTTTCCTCTGTCCCTTCACCTCTCACGACTCCTGGCCCCGCACCCTTGGCCACCATGAGTGGCTGCAAGGACCACAGGCGCGCAGGTCTCTCTGACACACCGACATCAGACCCTCTCAGAAGGGCCCAGAGGTGGGACCGCAGGGCACAGCAGGTCTGCTCGGCTTCCTGAGCTCCTCCAGGTTTTTCCACATCCCCACGTGAGGGTCCCTCCTCAGCCTCCTCACCAGCACACACCCCAAGGCCACCGCYGGCCCTCCTTGTCACCATCAGCCTTTGGGGGCTTCCTTATGGTCCCTGGAGTTGGTGGACACAGCGTAAGTGGGGGGCGTCCGGCCTCAAGGGTCCATCCCCCACCTGGGCAGCCAACCTCGGTGGCTTCGCGGGCACGTCCCCAGCCGCTGGGCTGCGGGCACTGGCTCTGTCTTCTCGAGTGGCGGAGGCTAGTGCCTGCCTCTGACCCACAGCAACCTCTGGAGACATTTCTGGTGGTCAGTGTGAAGGTTGAAAATGCTCCCGGCAGCTGCAGGGTCCATCCCAACGACCACCCTCGCCATCCTCACGGAGGCTCCTCCGGGGAAGGCCTGGGCGGCAGCTTGCAGGGGACCCGGAGCAGATCACTTCCCGAAGCTGACCCGCTGCTGCCCTCCTGAGCAACTGCAGACCAGCGGGGGGGCCACAAAGGGCCCACACCAAGAGGCGGCAGGCCGGCGCAGCCTGTGGTCTGTGCAGGGCCCCAGGGACAGGGACAATAGGCACAGTGGCCAGGAAGCTTCTCGACTGAATTACTTTAGAAAATGTGACTCTTGCGCAATTTCTCCCAACAAGTGGCCCAAAAGCCAGAGGAAGGCACTGCCGCGGGGGCTCCGACTTGAACTCCAGAACCTGGAGGCGCCGGACAGGAGACAGGACACCGTCTCCACCAACAAAGCCCGAGGAAACCCTTCCCAGGGGACTGGGTTCCGATCTGAGCCTAAAGGACCACACGGGGCTCGTCTCCTGCCTGCTGTGCGAGAGCCACACGAGGACACGTCAGGAAGGCCAGTGGGACGGCCTCTCCGCTCCCTGAGGCTCAAGTCCACAGAGACGTGAGCGCTGGACATGTGGCTCCCGAGGGTGAGGCACTGGGGAGGCACGTGGGAGAGGAGGAGAGGGGACCGTGGGTACCAGCCAGGGCCACCAACCCTCACACACCAGCAGCCCAGTGCAGGGGCCCCRCTGCAGCTCAGCCATGGGCCAAAAGAGGAAGCCACCTGACACCAGCCGAGACTCCACAAGTGGTCACCATGCTGCCCACGGGGACCCAGGCTGCCCAAGCTTTTGTTCTCTAAAACTGATGCATGTTTTGGTAAAAATAACTCAAATAACACACAGACATAGAAGGTGGTAAGACTCCCATCAGGGCTGGGGCTGTGGCTCAGCGGTAGAGCGCTCGCCTTGCACGCACGAGGCCCTGGGTTCGCTCCTCAGCACCACATAAATAAGTGAAATAAAGGTGTTGTGTCCAACTAAAAAGTAAATATTAAAAAAAAAAAATAGAATCCCATCAGCCAGAGGTCACCAGTCCTGTCCTAGGTGAATACTTTCCAGATGTGTGGCTCTGTGCATGCATGCACACTCACACACGCACACTCTCATACACACATACACTCACATATACACATACTCACACATGCACACTTGAGCACACATGCATACATACACACATGCGCGCACACACTCATGCACACACACACACACGCGCGCGCGCCACGATAGGTACATAAAACTTTCCATAAAAATGATCGTGACACATCTGATGTTCCATCACCTCTATTTCCACAAGTACCGTGGCCATTTTCAAGTGGATACAATGTGGCCAGAAGGACAGATGTGCTGGGGACAGCTCTGCCCCRGGGCTGTGTGCAGACTGACCAAGGACAGCCCAGGCTCCACCRCTGAACCATGCCCCAGCCCCAGATGGACAGTTTAAACCCACCCTGGGGACTTGCTATCGGGGGTCTGGGCATTGCTTGGCCTCCCTGAACCTCCACGGTGACGGTTGTAAAGCGGGAGGTGATGGCGCCAGCCCGGGCGCCTGGTGTGAGGACAAGCAGGTGCCCCCACAAAGTCCCCCACTCCATCACCAGCACTCTCCCCCGCTTAGGGAGAGAAGGAATTACCAGATTCCCGAGTCCCTGGCTCTGCCCTCAGGGAAGGGACACTAACAGGCGGCCCAGCTCCCTACCGCGTCCCTGCATGTGTCTATGGCCTCTACCTGAATCAAACATCTGCAGAGGAGCCAAGGCACCTGCGCGGCTCTGTGTGAAAACACAGACACAGACAGACAGCTGGACAACACCAAGTGGACACCTGGACTGAATGACATCTTTTTTTTAACATGACAACACAAATCCTTGCAGGGGAGAACTGCTTCAGAGAAAAGAGATGAGGAAAATCATCATTCAAACGAATTTAAGAAACATCCTATTCTTCACCCAGATCCTCACTGAATGGACACCAGAGACCAGAATCCGACTGTGACAAGATCAGGCACAGAGGCCGAGAGGCTGGGCTGGTGGTGGAGGGCAGATCTCCAGGGGACAGACTCTTGCTGGCTGAGGAGGCCCCTCCCACCCAGTCGCCCATCCCCCAGTCTCTGCAGTAAGAGCGCAGGTTCACCATGCAGAATCAGGGAGCGCCACCAGGGAACAAACCCAGGCCTTCACAACAGCTGAGTGAATGAGGCTGACTCCCCCGGTGTCATCTAAAGTCACTGGGATGACATTTACACGAGGTCATAATACAAGAGAAAAGCGTGTGCTGCGCACTATTAACAAAATGCAGACTATGGCTCGGGGTGTGCTTGGGGTGCAGCGCCTGCCCAGGGTGCACAAGGCCCTGGGCGCCTCCCTGACAAAGGACACCAGCGGATCACACAGCCACAGGCAGCACTTGTTTTGGATATGGAGTCCTGCTCTGTTGCCCAGACTGGCCTTGAACATCTGGGCTCCAGCAGGCCCTCCCCTGGCCTCCTGAGGAGGGGGACTACCAGAGTGACCCTCCAGGCCTGGCTCTGCCTGGCGGTGGCTTGGTTGGTTTTCTTAGGGGCACTGGGGTGGAGCCCGGCTCCTTACCACTGAGAGTCACCCCAGCCCTTCTCATGTTTGATCTGAAACAGGCTCTCACTCAGCACTGGACTGGCCTTGACCTTGCAGCCCTCCTGCCTCCTGAGCGGCTGGATTCCAGGTGGGTGCCCCTCGCCTGGGCGTGCGTACTTAGTACAGAAGGAAACCACGGGGACAGGACTGGCCGGGTGCCCGTTCCTTCATTTCCTCCTCGTCCCTCRGTTTGTGATGACGAGCATGTATCACTTTTACAGAAAAGCATTACTGTCTTTTTTTWAAAAAAAAATGAACAAACCAAAAGCATGCTACGTGGTGGAGGTGAGAGCAGCCRCAGGCTGGATGGGAAAGGATGAAGGTCCTCAGTCCCCCTTGGCCAGCAGACCTGCCCCAGGACGAAGGCCATAAAGCAGGGGTGCCCGGCAAGTCAAGAGGGCAGCATGGGGACTCTGCCCCCCAGGGGCGGGCCAGGAGACACTCACCTGGAGGTAGATGGCTGCCTCTTGATAGTTCATCTCCCAGTTGTGGCTGGAGGGGCTGGAGGGGGGGCTCTCTCCGCCAGAGACCAGATTGGGGGCCCGGGAGTCGTGGGCGGCATGGCTGCCCCCATCTGCATGGGGAGAGGAGAGACATCAGAGAGCAGGCCGCAGGCACAGCAGTCACCGCCCGCTCACACACACCTGTCACCTGCAAGGCAGCGCTCACCCTGTGTGCTAAGGACAACAAGAATYGCAAGGGCTGGCCACCGCTCGGTCTCTTTTAAGTGAGGAGACAAGGACACAGGGGTGCAGTGCGTGGGGAGGAGGCCCACCTCAGCTTATTCTCACAGAGAGGAGCCCCGGAGGAAGAACGAGAACTCCCAGGAGGGTGGCCTGGGGCGGGGAGGGGGGCCTGGGGCGGGGAGGAATGGCAGGGCCCAGCCTCGGGGTCCTCTTTCTGTAGACTTCTGTTGAGATCCTGCTTCTGCAAACATCTAAAGGCCTGGATGTGCCCCTGAGGCAGGGTCAGCYGCTGCCTGTCCTTGCTGACATGGGCGCCCTCCTCCTCCAGCGCCTGCTGGCCGCTCTGGGGAACGCCCCCTCCCTGCCCTGTGTCCACAYTGCCTGGCTCTGGCTGAGCCACCCTGGCTCCCAGGCAGGGGACCTGGGCTAGGCAATAAGAGCCCCYGTCCTGCTGGGCACAGGGTGGCGCAGGTGTCGGTGCTGACCCCCGCCCAGCCAGCCAGGGCTGTGCTTGGAACTCCTCCCACACCAATTCAGGGGGGCTCTTTCCCTCCTCAGCTGCCAAGAGACGGACATCAACAGAGAACAGCAAGAGCTGGAGATAAGGTGGCTGCACCCTGGGGACCCTTAACTTCCAAAACCCGAGGCGATAGGATCTGAGTGTGTTTGAGTTGGATTTGTCTCAAGAATGTGGAGTCTCCACTGAACTCATGGGAAACCAGGGCCCCAGGAAATGGCTCTTGGCCTGTGAATTTATTGGGGAGAAGTGAATCGAGGGTGAAGATTCACACCCTGGATGATACATCTGTGATACACCTGTAGGAAGATAAGGAATCGAGGGTTTGGCTGCTGCCATGCGCACAGTTGGCAGGAAGCCAGCAGGTAAGGTGTCAGCCAGCAGGAAACAGCAGGAAGACAGCACTCATAGGGCTGCTGGTCACAAACCCGAGAGGGCGGGAACTGCCAGGAGAGGGCGGCCATGCCGGGCCATCTGCAAAGCCCTGACCCTCCCTGAGTTTGCAGGCAGCAGCCAGCATGTGGGCAGGGCGTGCCTGACCCAGGATGCAGCCCAGGAGTGGGGGGGGGGGGCCGCTCCGGCATGGCGTACCCTCTCCTAGCAACCTGTCTCCACYGCGTCTTATCAAAGTACTGGCCCTGTCCACGGAGTTTGAGAAACACAACTACAGAGCGTCCCTGCCCAGATTCTGGTGTATCTTCTGCCGTCTGACACAGTGACTGTCACATCTGGAAGGACCCCGAGGACCGCTTCACTGAGGCACGCTTCTCCATGGGGACACTGGAAGTTGGGAAGGGTGCGATGCGTGCGGTGCAGTGTGGTGCAGTCGGGGCCAACAACCACAAAGTCAGGTCTTCCGGCTGCCCATCTAGAACTCTCCTCAGCACCATCATTCATCACTCACCCCTCCCAGAGGGACAGGAGGATGGCTCTACACACCAGCTGTCCCCCAYGGGCCAGGGCGGACTGACAGCATGCAGCTGTGGGACCGGTTTAGTAACTGTGACCCCAAACAAAAGTGACAGGTGGTGCAGAGACTGTCCCTCGCCCTGGCCAGAGCTTCCAGACACACCCCACGGGCCACAGGTGACTTGTGGACAGACAGAGGGCTGTGCGGGTGCTGGGAGCGTGTCTTCCCTGGCCAGCAGTGGGACAGCCATGTCAGCAGAGCCTGGGGCAGCAGGGGCCTCAGGAAGCCGGAGGGTGGTCCCTCCCAGGGTGCAGCAGGACAGCCCAGGCTGGGCGTGCCTGGACCACGAGCTCTCTGAGAATGTGTACGCAAACATGGATCAAATTTCAACGTCTAAATAAGTATAAGAGTTTAGGGCAACCGAACAACAAACSTAAAAACCTCTCCTCGGTGGCTGTGCGCTCTGTCTGCGGGGGCCTGAGCCTCCTCTCTGGGCCAGAGCAAGCCTCTCCTGCTCCCTGCTGCCTCCAGCCCAGAGCAGCCGCTGGTGGCTGGACTCTGAATCCTCAAAACCCCAGGCTCCTGGTACCTCTCCTTTCCCTGACAGGTCTCCCTGGGAGACGGCTACAACCCTGGGTTATGGGGCCTGCGGAAGGCCCCCAACACCCCTGTGGTCACCTCCCCRGCCTCCCTCTGCTGGATGACTCCCTGTCACTCTGGAACATGCCTAGAACTTTCCTCCTACTGGTCCTTGCACCTCTGGTCCCCTCTTCCCTGCCTGGCCCCGCCCCCACCCCCTKCGAAGCCACACCCACATCATGCTCACCAGCCTCTCTCACTGCCTGGTGGCTGCATTCCCACCTCCTCACCTGGGCACCTGTTTCCCTGCCTGGAATGTCAGCTGGGGACAGGGACATCTGTATTGTTCACTGTGGTGCCTGGAGCCCAGCACAGTGTGGGGCAGGAGGCACAAGGGGTGAACCTGGAGACCCTGCCCTAGAAACCCCACATGCTGCCACACACAGCAGGGACTGAGGCAGGGAACAAGAAGCAGGCGCTGGCCCAGGGGCCTGGGGAGGATGGACCACCCAGGGACCCAGAGAGCAGGGGCAGCGCCCGCCCGAGGGGGCGGACCACTCAGGCGGACCACGGGACACGATCTCTTTGAATTTGTAAATATCATTCTTCTGAAAACTGGCTGCAGAAAGATGATTTTGCACATGGTAATTCAGGGCGGAGGTTTAAAGAGAGAAGCAAAGGGAAACTGGGAAACTGGCTGCAGAGCTGGGGAGGGAGCTGGGGAGGGAGCTGGGGAGGGAGCGGGGAGGGGGCTGGGAGGGGGCTGGGAGGGGGCTGGGGAGGGAGCTGGGGAGAGAGCCAGGAGGGCAGGGCTCCCTCCAGGACTTTGTTCCTGCTTCCAGCCACAGGCCTCCTTGCACTGCCCCAAAACACAGCCAGCAAGCTCTACAGCCCCGGAAAGGCAAAGCCGGTGGCTTGTTTGTGACTCTCTGACAGGCCTGGGCCATGTGGCTGAGGGGCTTTTCAAGGAAGCCCCAGGTGATGTGGAAAAGGCTTCTTCACCCGGTGCCTGTGGCTGGCGGCACATTTAGGGATTACAGAGAGGGTTCAGCGCAGGCAGAGGCCGCTCCCCCCCATTCCTTCTACAACAGCCAGGTCCCAAAGCACTTCCTAGGCTGCGGAGGCAGAGCCACCACCCGCGGGGCTCCATTCCCTGCTCCGATTCCCAGGCCAAGAAGTGAAGGAAAGGAGATGGAAACTCCCCAACTGCCCGGGGTCTCAGCAGCTTCCCAGGGGGAAGGGCGGCTGAGGTTGGGGCAGGAGCTGAGGGTGGTGAGAAGCCGCAGAGGGGGGAGGCCAGGGGAGCGCTAGGTGGGTGGGACCCCACATGGGCCTGGGCAGTTAGGTGGGGCACTGCTGCAGGAGTGAGTCCTATTCCCGGGACTGCTCGGGGCCAGGCCTCCCTGTCCTGGGAGTAGCACTCCCCGTGGCTCTGACGGGTTACCACCAGGTGTGAGGACCAGAGGACAATCTGTCTGATGGCACAGAAGGCCCAGTCAGTCGCTCCAGGTCCTCTGCCTGTGCTGTGCAGACCCTGGCGCTGCCCTGCGACCCTGCCCTGGCATCCTCCTGCCCACCGAGCCCGGAGCCTGCTTCTGCATTTCCTGGAGAAACACAGGCTCCAAGGTCACCAGGCAAATGTCGGGGGCTCACACCCCACCACCCTACTAGCTCCACCCTGTGGGCTGGGACAAGCCTCTCCGGTGGGGACTAGTGGAGGCCAGGTCAGAGTCGACCCCGTAGGACCTCTCTGACCTAGTCCTTGCCAGGACAGTGCTTCCAGGTGACCTGCGAGGCGAGGAGCATACCGTAAGGGCCCAGCCGGGGGAACAGGCCCGACCTCACCACAGGGCGGGCCTCCACAGCCTCSGTCAGGAGCAGGGCAGGAAGCCCCTGCCTCTGCATTTCCGCCTGGTCTGGAAGGTGGCTGGGCTGGAAACTCAGAAGGAAGGACAGAGGATGCCCATGGCCAGAGGGAGAAGTGGCCTCTAGGCCCTCGCAGCAGGGAGCGTCTCCACGGGAGGCTTTGGAAGGCCGCAGGATGCCACTAGAACATTCCTGGCAACCAGGAAGAGCACTGTGCCTGAGGTGCCCCACGAGGGGAACAGCGCGCTCTGTMCTCGCTGTGCCCAGGCAGAGCGCTCTACAAAACCCAGGCTGGCAGACTGGCACGGCCCTCAGGCCAAACCACGGCCACTGAGGATCCAGAGGCCCCTGCYCCTGATCCTCCCTCCTCGAGCTTGGCAGTCAGCCCAAGGAGGTGAGCCTGCGGCCAGGGAGGACAGCGGAAAGGAAGAAAGCGCTGAGCTGACAGCACGGAGCTGCGACACCCTCCCCCACCGACCCAGAACACAGGCAGCTGCACGCAGAGCAGGCGGCCAGGGTGACCTGCCTGCACAGATGGCCTCGCCCCTCCGCTGATGTAACAGGCCCAGGCTCTCAGCAAACAGCTGGCTGCCCTGTGTGGAGCCTCCAAAAGGGCCCTGCAGAGAATCCAGGGTTTCCGCTCGCTGGAGCCCAGCACGCGGCAGCGCCCTGGAGCCACTGGATAAACAGAAACAGCTTCCATATGCCGCCAGGAGTGCGCCAGGCAGGGGGCGGGGCAGGCCTGTGCCACCCCCACCCACAGGTGCTGGGTCAGCTCCACTGGGTAAACCCCGGGCCTAAGTCTTAGGCCTGGGGRCAGAGGTCGCTTTGAATAAACCCACAAGGGTCACTGGGCAGAGCGCGAGCTTTCTCGGGTGGAGTGATACTGGGGCTCCAAACCATTCCTGTCTCCACCTTCCTCCATCGCACTTTTTAAAATGCTGGCAACGTCACACACTCATACCCCCCACCCTCGCGCCCCTTCCTCCACTAACCCTCTCTCTCTCTCTCTCTCT